CTGTGAAAAACTAGAAAAGCTGAGATGGACTGATGGAAGGTTGCTTCTTTTTCATATATTGGATAGAATTAACTGTATGGTTAAACATCTTTACACTGACAGAAAGAGACATTTTGTTGTTTCGCTCTATTTCAGATCAAAGCTAGATGTATGTGGCCCACGATGAGTTTGACACCCCAGTCCGAGTCCAGGTCAAAGTTTATCTGGGTTAGGGTTTGTTAAGGATTGGATATTAACCCGACCTATAACTCTATATGGGACGCTTGTAATCTCATGAACCGAATGAACTGTTGTTGAGATACATGAAAAAGGATGAAGCCTTCTGAATGGTACTCCCTGACCTGCATTACAGAATCAGTAATATTTACCAAGACCCACCAAGTATCTTATTCATATCATAACTTTCATCATCATCAAAAAAGAGAGAAAAGGACTGAAACCGAGTGTGCTGAGGGCTCAACAGATAGATTAAGAAAAAGATTGAAGGAGTTGTTCTTTGTAAAGCTATTATTCAAATAGAAAATATTTCCTCTATTTCCACTTTTAATGTCCTGTTTCAACTGTTGCCCTGTTCATAACATGATTTATTATAACCATGGCTGGAAAGTGCCCACCCAAGTAACCAAATCATTTTCATTTTCAACAAGCAAATTTGATTTGTACATAATATCTTGGCTGGATTTCAGGCGGTTCAGATAGTGTATGAAGAAAAGCATCTGTGCCTCTTTCCACATATACAGCATGGGGTTATTCAGAGGACCATCACTAACTAACACACACGCACACACGGCTTTAACAAGGTGTGTGTTTTGTGTCAGAGGGAAGAGCTGCACCAGCACCTGTTTTGACAGATATACAAAAAGAAGGCGTGTTAGCTGGGCAAAAGTGTAGCTGCAGATATTTTTATCCCTAGAAATTTTAATCTGGGGAGCACGTAGACGTTTTTTCCTGAGCTACATTATTGCTAATTTGAAAGATATCAGCACTCAAGGTCAGAGAAGGGCGAATGAATAATTTTACAGCTGCTAATACAAGTCTCAGAAACGTCTCCTTGAAAGCAGTTTCTGAGACACAGGATGAATTGAATGCACTTTGTTGCTTAAAGCCGTCAGCCTTTTGCTGTGTTTTCCCCTTCGTGTCTAAAGGACAGTTTGAAGATGAAAATCTCGTCTTTAATGTTTACTCAGCACACAGAAACACATGTGACATGTTATTCTTCACAATCTTTTGCAAACCCACAGTTCTCATTTTGTTCAAAGTTTACCCTAACCCAGTGGTGAGGCTTCTAACCCGAGCTTTTTATTACCAAATCCCTCACCAGCAAGGAAAAATCCCGGC